AATTTACTAAAATGGAAAAGACTGACTGCTTCCAATTGTGCTTGTAATGCCAACAAGCCACCACATTATATCTTAATCTAGGACACATTTCAGCTTGTTCCTGGGCTGTGACCACCAGGAGTGATTGTTGGCAAGGGCCACCAATCGTCCTTCTAGTGGCAAGTTCCCTCCACTAGGCACTTCACATAATTAGATGGTAAGTGCTCTACATCATGAATAAATTGAACCTGAACATTCAGTGTTGAAGAGCACCATAAAAATAATATTCTGCTGGATTTTTTATAAAAATGATAAAGAATTCTCATTATGCTGCATGAAGTTTTAAATAAACTCTGCAAATAGCCTAGCAAGAATAGTTTGATTTCACTGAATTGTCAGAGAAAAGATAATACCAGTAAAATGTAATGAAAAATTATTTAAAGCCTCTTTTGTTCTGTAGTTACTGAGCTCTTAAGAGAAAAGACCTGAGAGATCACATTGGATAAAGCCCCTAATCTATAACACAAACACACAGTAAGAAAGATAGTATGTAATATTCCATGAGGGGTTCTGATAACTCAAAGGCAAGAAAAGTCACTTGTGGGTTAGGCTAAGGCTGATTAAGCCTTTAAGACATACCCTAGGAGACTGGTGGGATTTGAACAGTAGAGATGGGTATGAGGTGGGAGAGGAAGGAAGGAAAAGATATGAAAGGCTGTTACTCAAAGGGAGGATCCATGAAGGAGCTTAGTGGGGTCTGGGGCTGGAGAGGAGAGCTAAGGCTGGACTGCGGAGAGCTTGAACACTAAGCCACGAAACTCGGAGTTCATTCAAATAGTAACAGGGAGCCCAGGGAGGTTTCTGGAAAGGGAAGTAGCATGATCTGATTTCAGGAAGATCCATCTGATGCTGATCAAGTATATCTGGTGCTCAAAGTCAAAAGGCAATCACCCAACAAAAGGCCAGTGGATTCAGTCACTAAACTATCAGAAGGTACACTGTCATGGTGCTCTCCAACCTAGGTGAGTGGAGATGAAACAGTTCAATAATTTCCCTCGTCTCCCCCCTAGCACGCTCTCCTATCGATGAGGTTTGGTGACCTAAGGCAGTTCAGGCAGTTCTCCCTGAATGCAGTTACTGAGTTGTCTGGAATGTATGAAGTCCTCACTGGGATGTATTAAAAAATTCCTTTTGTGCAAAGAATTTTTTTAAAAATCACACTGGAAAGACACTCCTTCACAGTTGGAAACACCAATGGTGTCATCCAAGGCACCCAGTAGGGCTCTCTTTTCTCTGGGCATGCCACCCAGTGATGGCACAGCCAAGGCGCGGCTCCAAACATAAAGACAACAGGAGTGCAGGAAGAAGGGGGCAGAAGAGGATGACAGCATAAAACTAGTTTTGAAAAAGAATCTAGGTAAGAAACCACTGTTTATTTTCACTTTACTCATTCATATATACATTTCCACTATCTGAAAGTCGTATATTTACACGGAATGTAAACATTTTTCAATTGTCTGAAATTGAAAGAAAGATATTTCTGGACACCTTCAAAAACACAAAACATCTGGGTGTTTTTGCAGACTAACTGTGAACAATGGGTCAAATTATAATACATTACAAATGTAATCTGGAATAAATTAATTGGCAAAATTTTCAAAGTATATGGTCTGAGCAGCTGCTTAAGTTCTTTTTTTTATTTAAATTGGAACCAAATTCTTGAAACAGTTATCATCAGAATGTGTCAAAAGTCACCTTATCCTGCTGTATCTCGCACAATTCCTATTTGAGAAAGTCAGGCTGGGTGTTAGCAAGAACCTAGCTAGCACTGACCCTGTTTCAGATACTATCAAAGATGGACATTCACCGATACTGATATAGGAAAATGCATTAAAGGAAGTGGAAAATGTCCTACCATGGAAGAGAAAAAGTGGTGAGAAAGACGATGTTAGAATGTTGGAAACACGTTTCACATACTTCATTATTACATAATTATCATAATCATCGCTGTTTTAACTGCAGCAGCTATTCTTTACTACAGGGCTATGGCAGATTCCATGCTAAGCACTTTACATGTAACAGATAATTATATTATTTAGATATCTACGAGAAATTTATCCCTCACAAAATTCCTATGAATTAATAATTATTTTCCCACTGAACAGAGCAAATTACTTAAGTTTTGCAATGAAGTTTTTTCAAGTAATTTGGTCAAGGTTGCATAGCTTATAAATGGAAAGGCTGGGACTGAAACCCAAGTCCCGTTCAATGTACTCTGAACACTTACTTCCAGATGCTTAGAATACTATAAAACTGGCAGGGTAGGTGAAGCTAACATGAATCAAATAATCCCATAATGAAATGCTAAATTTTAGCTGTGACAAGAGCAACAGATGTGACTTTTGCAGGGAGAGGGGGAGGGACAGTTGTTCCCTGAGGAGGTCTAATGCCATCTGAGATCTAAAGAACTTGAGTTGCCTTGAGGAAAAGGAAGGGAAAAGCATTCCAAGCAGAAGGCACAGAATATGCAAAGATGATGTGGTAGGAACTCCAGGGTGGTGAGGGCTCAAAGAACAAAGTGAGATGGAGAAAGGGCGTGATAATGATCTAGGAAATTCAGATTCATCAGGTAAGAAGGCTACAGCTTCACACACCCCATGCACAGGGTTTTGTAGACCATAGTAAAAAGGTTTTGTCTTTATCCTAAGCACATTGGGAATTTATTTTATTTTATTGCTGGTTGTGGTTGTTTTTCCTTGGGGATAAGGAGTGTGAACTAAGATATCAGTGTCATGCAGCCTCTTACAGGAATCTTTCAGGGGCGGGTGGGGGGTAGGGGAAGAGATTTTTTTAAAAATGGATATTCCAGAGCATGAACTTCTATGTTCCAGAATAGACATCTATTGTATTTCTAAATATCCCCCAAAGTGGGGATTTAAGGTGCAAATGGAAGGATGGCATACAGTCTCTGGAGGTAAACTGAGGCATAGCTAAGGTTATCTTGGGGGGCCCAGGCTGCAGGAACACAAGAATAGTGGGATAGAAGTGCATAGTAAGAGACCCTAACATAAAAATGTAGAAACCCATTTCTAGCTGAGGCACAGAAATGACTGTTTTCACACCTCAGCTCCCCAGCCACGAGCTGTGTGGCTCTGGATAAATCACATGTGTTTCTGTGACAATTTCCCCATTTGTCATAGTACCTGCCCCACAGGATTATTTTGAGAATGAAGTGAGTATATAATGTTGGGTTGCCGGAAAAGTCATGACTTTTTTTTTTCTACGTTTTTCGTTGCAAAAATGCGTCATGACTTTTCCGACAACCCAACACATGTAAAGTATGTAGAGCTGAACTTGCACACAGTAAGTACTCAATAAATACAAGCCATCATTATTAATATTATCATTCTTATGAATACTACTGTGAAAAATCAACATGGTAAGTAGTTAAGGAAATGAAAACATTTGTAAGTATACATCTAAGGCATGTTCTCAAACTTGCATATACATGAGAATCACCTGGAAAGCTTGTAAAAAGTATAGATTACAGGCAAGGCCTAGGAAACTAGATTTTTCATAAGCTCTTAGGGGATTCTGACATAGCTAATCCAATCATCTTATTTTGAGAAGTTTCAAGGCCTAGAATTTAAAATAAATATTCAGGCATCGAATAAGGGCTTTCATTGCAAGGACTTTATAAGGATAACTTTATAAAACAAATTTTAGATTTTATTTTTGTTAAGGCAAAAATGAAACAATCACTTGCAAAATCTACTTCTAGAAGTAAACTAATCAGAACCCTTTTGATTGGCAAAATATATAGTGTTTAGTTTTTAATATGCATTCTCACAAATTATTTATTTTGGGGAGGGAAGTGTTTGTGTCATTTTATTTTATTTACTTTTTATTAAATTTATTGGGGTGACATTGGTTAGGAAAATTATATAGGTTTCAAGTATATAATTCTGTAATAGGTCATTTATATAGTACATTGTGTGTTCACCACTCAAAGTCAATTCTCCTTCCATCACCATATATTTGACCCCCTTTACCCTCTTCTACCACCCCCTCCACCCTTACCCTCTGGTAACCACTAAACTGTTGTCTGTGTCTATGAGTTTTTGTTTCTTTGTCTTGTTCATTTGTTGCTTTCAGTTTTATATCCCATATAAATGAACTCATATGGTTCTCAACATTTTCACAAATTATTTAAATCTGTGATTCCAAACGGCCCAAACATGTCACTGTATGCTGTATTTTGAAGAGAAACTAAAATAAACATCTGAACAGTGATATATATGTTCTTTAATTATTAGATTTTATTTTCTATCAAAATTAATAGAGCTTCTCTTCAATCATACAGAGAAAATCATTTTCTGCTAGGACACAACTAAAACTCCGCAAGTTCTTTCACTTTAGATCAGGGTTATTCAGCCTCAGCGTTATGTAATCATTTTAAGTCATTATTTACAAGAATTATTTATACTAACAAGCGACCTTCTTCAGAAAAGTCAAACAAGTGACTAAGTTCAGGGAAGGTGAAATCATTGCCCTCATGCACACATGTGGTGAACAATGTCAGAGAAGATTATAAACTCAAGGTATTATTTACTCCTTGCTCACAAAACCATTACACAACCCAATGCTTGGGATCTTTCTTAACCCAACGAGAGTATGAAAATGCTGCTTAGGCTCTTTATAATAATAAACAATGCACATTCCTGTTTTATTTGCAAAAATAATTAGCAGCAGCTGCTACTCACACAGAATTTTTAACAGAAAATATTTTACATACTGAACCCAAGTATTTCAGAACTTAAAAGAGCCTGACGCCAAATGAAGTGTTCTGCCTTTTTTAAATTTAAAATAAGACATGACAATTAACTTCTACATTCCTTCATCTAATTAGAAAAAAATGACTGAAACATTTTCCTGAGACTCAAAGAAAACAGCTGGACACATCTGTCAACTACACATCTCTGGAGAGAAAGGAAAACTTAATGCTTTAATACCGTACTTACATGTGAGGGCTCAGCTCATAAAAATTTCTATTCCTGTAATCTTCCACTTTCTCTGGAGAATAAATGGGCAATGACCGGTATGGGTTAACAGATATAACCACACTTCCAATGTACGTCTGCAAAAGAAAGAGTAAAAAAATACCCATTAGTACATAGGATGTGCTTTAACATCTTAAACCTTAGTGACACATAGTTTCATCCTTTTAAAAATAACACTAGTTCTACTTGACCACTTATTTTATACTTTTCAAGAATGCTTTATTTACATCCCTGAAGACATACAGTCAATGTTTATTCATTTCACTGATAAATGGAAAGCACAGATTTATACATTGAAAATACTTTTCAAAATAAAACTAGATTAATTTATGATCCTGAATAAGAGTTCACCAAAGCCCCATCAAATTTGCCCAAAATTCCGTCACCAACCACTGCTAAGTGTGAGCAAGAATATGCTTTCTGGGACTCCGGTTAGAACTGGTGTTTCCTTCTCTCATCTTCATCCTCCTGTTTCAGTCTATAGTAACCCAGAGCTTCCCCTCCTCCCTACCCACATCTGTACCTGTCAAATAGGTGCACTGCCCTTACGCAACCCTGTCAATCTCTACAATGGGCTCAGATCACGTACAACTCAATGTTAGAGCCAGTTATTCCTTGGGCATTCAAACAACATAATTTCATATTACATCTAAGGTACTATGATATCAGAATTTAAATGTACTTGCTGAAGGAGAGTACATGTTAAATTTAAATTTAATGCAGAATTTAAATGTACTTTCAGAGGCACCAACACTATATTTTAGCAGACACCAACCCTCTCACATTACAAACCGGAACACTATTTATCTTCCTTTCCATTTTGATTTTAAATTACTGGCAGCAGGAGTAATGTTGGTTTAGTTCATACTGTACAAAGACTAGCACAATGCCATAAGCAAGAGTCACTTAACTGTGACTCCTCATCTTAGCAGATCCATTTCTCCTTTCAGTTCCAACATCATAAAGATGGATGCAGGGGAAAGTGCTAACAAAAACATGTTAAGTAATAAAAACTTTTTTTAAGAAAAGTTTTTCCATCATTGGATTCAAAATTATCATTCTAGAAAATTAGACTAGAGAGCAGAACACTTGAAAATGTTTCACTGATTTTTTTTTTTAACATGGATTGATTATTTTAATTATAAAAGAACTTTTCCCCCAACCTAGAAAACTGAACAGGTCATTTTTATACACATTTTCATCATATAAGAACACAGTCTTATCAAGAGTAGACAAGACTGCTGTTGTGAAAGAAAACTCAATTCTCATGCAATTTTTTGCATTTAGTTCCAGCATGCTATCACTAGGACCCAATGAATCTGGCCTGACAAGAGATGACTCCAAGTTTCCTAACTTATCCCATTTAGACAAGACTTTTTCACGGTTTCTCCACACTCCAGCCCACCTGGGCAAGTAGATGGGAAGATACTAGAGACTGAATAATTGAAATGCTTCTAACTAATTTACTAGAATTAGTTACATTGGTAGATATGGAAATACAATGATTGGTTATTCCTTTAATATCTGTTGATTAAAAGATAGGCCTTCTTTTAGAAAAGTACATGAATTTCCCTTTTTAGGTAATTTCTTAAATACAGCAATAAAAATATATATTTGTTGTTAGCAGAGAAATGAATTATCAAGTTGCTCTTTAAAACCAAACTTCACAGTAGCTAAATTCTTGATAAAAATCTGCTTCTGTGGCATTCTTGTACAGAGAACAAACTGCTGTCTCAAACCCAAAATCAAAAGGCACGCCACCAAGTTAAAAGTTTCTCTTTGCTACTTGTGACTTTTATACATACTGAATTACGTGTGCTTTTTTTTCCCAGCTATTTACCTATCACCTACAACAGGTCTGGCCCATTAATGATGTCTCATAAATGTTTGTTAACTGAATGACTGATTTGCACAGGGCCCGTTCATTGCTAAGAAAGTGGACGGCACAAACCACTGACTATCGTACAATTATCCTTCTGTCAAAATAGCATGCCAAGTACACTGCATACAGTGCCTAATATTTTATTAAACCTGCATGCCATGTGTTGCCACTGAACAAACCCTTAAAGCTATATGCTCTCCCCACCAGGTTCCTTGTCCTACTGTGGTCGATTGTTTGTAAAGATGGCTGGGATAATTCCTTCCACCCTGTATGCATACCGCTTTGAAATGTGACTGCCACTCTTTCTATCAGGAGATAGTTTATTTCTCCACCCTTTCAATCTAGACTTGTCTGTGCGACTTGATTTGACCAAAGGGACATTATAAGATGAGATACATGCATAGGCTTGAAAAGCATTTGTGTAGTAGGATGTACTTTTTTTACGACTGCAAGTGGAAGCCATGATGTGAACAAGCTCGAGCTAGCCTGTTGGAGAGATCATGTAGAAAGCGCAGTGACCCTGAACTACACAGCCTGACAAGCATCAGCTATATGAGCGAGACCACTCTAAACCAACCAGCCAGCCCATTAGTTAGGCCAACATATGCCTAAAGCTACATGCACGATCCCAGGTGACACACCAAACTGAACTCAGCCTAAATTGCTATCCCAAAGTTTTGGGGGCAAATAAAGTTATTGTTTTAAGCTATTAATTTTTTTTTGCGGGGGGTGGGGGGGGCCGGTGTTACCCAGTAACAACTACTGATAACACTAACACAGCTCAGCAAGTCAGAAAAGGGGCCAGGCAGAACAAGCTTTATCAATCTATTTAAATAGGCAAAGAGTAAAAGAAAACTGTGTCTCCATTCCACTTCATGCAAATGTTTCAGATATGTAGCTCTACTCTTGAACTCCTACTAGGTTTGTCCTCTGTTATTATATCTGTCCTTGCCGTTTATGGGTTTCTTCCTTGAAGGTCCTATGTGTGTTAATCAAAGGTTTAAATAGTCCCACATGTGCCAAGAGGATAACTCAAATGTCCATAGTCACAGCCCTCCTTTCTCTGAGATGCGAAAGACCTTCCTGACAGCAGCTGATTGGCTGGGTGGATTTTACAATTCTGCGCTAATTTCAGGTAGCTACATTCACGTAACTGCAGTACCAGATTAACCCTCCTGTTTGGGGATCGGAAAAATAGTGACCAGGCAGTTCATTGTTACATCAATTAGCATTTAGACTTATAAATGATACACTTGATTTTGATTTTTTTTTTTAACAAGCCACTGTACGTTATTTAAAGTTGGTAATGTTTTATTGCATCATGTTTCAAAAGTATGGTAAGCTAACTCATGAAATAACCCTTGGAATTAAGAAATTGGACACAAGACACAGAGTTTCTTAAAGTCAAGTATGTGCCTAAAAAGGCTGGTCCGTTTTATTCTGAATATGCCAAGGAGAAAAAAAACGGAAGAAAAGTATTGTACATTTTTACAAAAGGGAAAAGCAAAGCGGATCCGCCTCTTGCCCCTTAGAGCTCCACTCACTTATTCGACTGGAAATAACAAGTAAGAATATACTGCATCCAGCACCAGTGACCTGGTCTGGAGCGCGGATGGTGTAAGTACCAAGAGAGCCCAGAAAAGACCTCCGGCCGTTTAGTTCATTCCCACCAGGCCACTTCGGTGACCGTGCTCACACTCGAACCCGGCCCCTACGCCCCAAACGATTCAGAGAAACTCCTACTCGAATCCAGAGGATGTTCTTCTATTTGGTTGATCACGCCAAAAAGGACCCCTTCCACGTAATGGCCAAGACTATCTACCAGTTAGCTTCTAGCTACCTTCTCCGGAGACAAGTCTGGCTCCCCTTACCCTCAATGTATGTGTGTATGTACTGTATGTATGTACGTATACATGTATGTATTTGCTCGGTATACTTATTTACTCCTATCCAACCTATAGCCAACCTCCTAACCATCCTTTCCACTTCCTAGCTCAGCACCTCCATGCTCCTGTTAGGTAGAAGGTAAAAAATGTAGGAGGAGGCGGGGCTGGACAGGGTCCCTAGTGGCTACAGAAAAAGCTCATAAATAGCTTTGATTAACTGCCTCCAGCCACATACCTGTTTTTACAACAATAGATGACTGAGAGGTGGTCTGGAACAAGATAAGGATCTGAGTCAACAGACTCCACCCATCTTAGGAGGTTATACCCTCGCCTGGAAGAGCATGCACCCCCTTTTCCCACCAAATCAATATGGAACTCCCTCACCCCACTCAGCAAACTGTACGTCCTGAGGACAACGGGACTGGGAGCCTATGCCTCTCTCCCCCACCTCGGCTAGGATCGTTCTCTTCCCTGAGAAAGCTTCACTAATAAATCCTGCCTGCATGCTCATCAGCTTGCTGGCCTCTGACTCTTCACTGCGTGGGCAAGAAGAACCGAAACTCCCGTAACACTCGCATCCCTCAGCACCCCCGGTCCTCAGGCATATGCACCCCACCGCCATGACCAAGGAAAGCTCCCTCCACTCCCACTGCTCTGCGGGACCAGCCTCTGCCGTCCGAGGGGATGGGGGGATGGGATGGGATGGGCAGGGGGAAGGAAGATAAAGGAACAAGGAGAAAAGAAAAGAAACGGGGAAGGGCAAGCGGAAAAGCTCTACCTTGCTATAAATGGCACTTTCAATCAGCAAGTTTATCTTTTACTTCTCAAGGGCAGACATTAAATCAAGAATGTACAAACATTCCGAAGTCAAAACAATCCTGTCTTCATATTTCACATATCTCTAGCATTCCAGAACAGATGCCTTGCAAATAACACTTGAGTATTCCTATTGTGATTACAGTGAAAACTGGTCTTTTCTGGAGGACATGAACTTCCACTCTCCATATCACAATTCAGTACCCCCAAAAAAATCCTCTGATATATACCGGGGGTGCCAAAAAATGTGTACAAGTGGACACTTTGGTCAATGTTGCTCAAGCAGTAGCTCGCCATACTCAGAAGTGTCTGGACACTGATGGTAACCCTCTTGAGCACCTCTTGTAATTGCAGAAGTCAAATGTGACTTGTATTCATCTTTTGTTATTGGTATATATTGAGTATTACAATTTTAATATAGTTTCCTTTCTTAAAATGTGTATATATATTTTTTGGCAACCTCTGTATATAAATCAAGGACCATGAATATTAT